TTGCTATACTAATTTAATGTTTAGTGTAATTATTTTATAAATTGTTGCTTGTTCAATGATGTTCCTTAATTTGAAAATCTGTTCTGTTGTTCCCCTGCCTTTTCTATACCCTGCTTGCTCGTTCCTCAGTCTGATATCAACTCCATTCTGTATTCGATCAATCACGATCCGTCCAAGTATTTTGCTGACTACTGAAAGTAGAGTAATTCGTCTCCAGTTCTTACATTCTTTGAGGTTTCCCTTCTTTGGCAATTTGATGATCAACCCTCTTTTCCATTTGTCCGGGATCTTTTTGTGTTTCCATACTTTCTCCAGTAGCTGATGCAGTTTCGTGGCTGAGAATTCCTTGTGCGCCTTTAGCAATTCAGCTGTGATGGAGTCGACGCCTGGAGATTTCCCATTCTTTAAATGCTCAATTGCTGCTTTTACCTCGTTGATTGTTGGTTCAGTGATCGCGATTTCTTCAATCAATTCGCCTAGCTCGAACTCACATTCATCTTCCATGTTATAGGATCTGTTGGTTCTTCTCTGTTCAATACTTCTCTAAAATGCTCTGTCCATCTTGCCTGCATTTCTTTCTTTCCGCTCACGAGATTACCGCTCTTATCAAGGATGGCTGTGCTGCTCTTAGGTCTTTCATTGCATAGCACTTTCGTCAATCCGAATAATTTTCTCATTTTTTGTTTTCTTGCAGCATCCTCTGCCTCACTTGCGATGCCATCCATCCACTTCCTTTTATCACTCCTTATGCTCCTCNCCCTTCTTTGGCAATTTGATGATCAACCCTCTTTTCCATTTGTCCGGGATCTTTTCATGTTTCCATACTTTCTCCAGTAGCTGATGCACTTTCGTTGCTGAGAATTCCTTGTGCGCCTTTAACAATTCAGCCGTGATGGAGTCGACGCCTGGAGATTTCCCATTCTTTAAACGCTCAATTGCTGCTTTTACCTCGCCGATTGTTGGTTCAGTCATCGCGATTTCTTCAATCAATTCACCTAGCTCGAACTCACATTCATCTTCCATTGTTATAGGATCTGTTGGTTCTTCTCTGTTCAGTACTTCTCTAAAATGCTCTGTCCATCTTGCCTGCATTTCTTTCAAAAATACAATATGTAGCAGAGTATTTTTGACAAAATTTGAGGTGTTTGAATAGCAGATGAAACTGTCTCGAGTGTTTGATATATCTTTTCAGTCAAAGCAAAAACTAAGGAGTGAACGGAGAAGTAAAATCTTCAAAATCTATGCTAATGAAGACTGGGTATCCAAACCTCCTTCATGCTCGTGATTTTCTTTGTTTTAACTTAATAAATTGTCAATGAGTTTGAGAAATATAAACCTGGATAATGCATGTATTTGTAATGAACTTATTAACTAAAGCCTCTTAATACAAGCTATGCAACATTGAATTGAATTAAATTGAATTGAATTTACATTGGTGTTCATATTCAGTTAGAAGTGGTATTAATATTGTGACAGAAAAACACTCAGTCTGGCAATTTTACAAATTAAGATCATGTTGAAATTAGCTTTTCTTAATATCTTTCTTATGTGCACTCTTTAGGTATATGTTGTAGTTCTTGCTAAGAATGTACCATTACATGCAGAACAACATTACAGAGTGAATTAATATCAGTGAAATGATTTACTTGTACATGTAAATGTTATTAATGTCTCAATCAATATTGTTCTTCAGTCACTCACCAAGGAATGGGTGGATCCAGTGCTCAGACCAACTTCACACTCCAGCAGTCTCATGAACCTTCCGGCTAACAGATTACGTCAAAGGCAGAGAGAAATTGCTTTGGAACAAAAGCAGGCTGCACTTAAACAAGGACGGAAGAAGACTCCACCTAAATTCTTTTCTGCTCTGGAGGTTTTTCCTCAGCTGAAGAGGAGAGCCCAGCAAGGGTGAGATTTTTAGACTATAGATATATCAATGCTCCTCTCTGGTAGTCTTCTTTGCAGCCATTGTTTGAAAATTATGCAGGCAAATGCACAACATTTTTTTTCTTCACTGCTTGGCTTTTCATAAGTCAGAATTTTGAAATTATCTTCCTATTCCCCAACTGGCATTAATGGACCTAAAACTCTTGAAACAACTCCACCTTAAATTGTTGTGAGGGATCAAAAAGAACAATCTGCTTGCCAATCTGAAAAGCCCAAAGTAATTGTGAATGTAATTGAAGGCTTTTGTGCAAAAAGGGCATATGTAGCATTTTGGGTTGATTTTTATTTTTTGCAGGATCGAGCTAATTTTTGGCAGACTGACTTGTTTTGACATGAAAAGCATCGTTGCATAATTGCTTTTGTTGATTTGCGCTTCGTTTTCGAGAAATAACGTATGCAAAAAATTCAGTTTTTCAAGGGTATCTTTTGGAGATCTTTTGTTGAGCAAAAAACAAAGGAGACCTTTGTTTTGCTAAATGATGAAGTCACCGAAGGGTGGTATTTGCCACTAGTTTTATTATTTATATAATTATGCAATTCTCTTACTGTTGGTTCATTAGCACAAGCGGATAAGGCGCTGAACAGGCTGCATCCAAGTTTGTTTTGTCGTGACACCAGTTCGATACGAGGTTGGTCGATTTTTTTTCCGGTCTATTTCTCTACTTCTTTCAAAAATCAAAACATCTATCTAAAAAAATCGTGCTGTCGAAGCCACTTAATGTAACCGTTTAAGTCCGTGCTGCGTCAAAATCCACCTTCAAAGGATTTGCTCCAAAAGATGCCACTCGGAAAACTGAGTTTTTTTGCATATGTTATTTCTAAAAATGAAGCGCAAATCAGCAAAAACAATTATGCAACGATGCTTTTCATGTCAAAACAAGTCAGTCTGCCAAAAATTAGCTCGATCCTGCAAAAAAAAAAATCGACCCAAAATGCTACATATGCCCTTTTTGCACGAGAGCCTTCAATATTATTGTTAATGAGAGGTGCTAAAATTCTCTTCTGCCTCAATTTGATACACTACAGTACCTGAGTTTTATGTATGTGTGTTTGCATTTAAGTCATGTGTACTCTATGTACAGTGTAGATGCCACCTACACTACATTTACATGTGGTACAAGTACACTGTATGTCATTCACAGCTTTTATCACAATATATAATATATCTTCTCTACTGATCTACATGTAGTAAAGAGACAAACCATTATTTCAAGTGTAAAAATAACTGTTGCCATGTTGGCATTGTAAAATATTAATAAAACTACATAATTATTTATATTTAAAATTGCATTTACAGCTACTGCTATTTACGTGTACATGTATATATAATCAAAATTTTCAGGATACTAGGATTTTACACTGTTAAGGATCTGGATATATTCTTTTTTCAGGAGGTTGGCATATGCAAAAATACTTCCTCCATCTTGCTTTGATGTTGATGGCATGGTGCTTAAGCCCCAATTGAGGACTGCTCTACATGTTTTAGGCTACCAGATGTATGAAGAAGAATTTGATAAAGTCTGGGACAGGTAAGTGCATGTTTGCATTCACTGTACAAATACGTAGAGGAGGTTGCATCACAGGAGTGTTGTTTGTGCAGAGAATTAGGTAATATAGCATCACTGGCACACAAATGCATGGAGATTGAGATATAACTATAAAGCATGTTCAGGACCTAATGCATTATGATTTATCTAGTTGAAACTGAAGATTCCTTTGCACTAGTTCCCGTATTACACAAAAACTACTGTTATCTTCAAAAGCATAGTGCAACTGTCTGCTTCCGTGGACATACATTGTACTATTTGACTGTTGATCATGACTCACTCTAGAGGTACATGTAGTAAATGGTACTTAGAAAAGGTCAGAATATCATTGTACCTAGCAAACTTCTGATCTGATCTTGAAGTCTTGAATGACATTGAGATCTTTCACAAAGTCTTGTTTTGGTTTTGGTTTTGGTTTAATTTGGAGAATATATTGAATAATTGTTATATCATAGTCCTGGAGTTTGATTTTACCATTGTCATCCTGTTCTCTGAGAGGCTGGTATGTACATTGCAACTAAAAACATGTTTTTTAACTGCTATCACGTGTAATTTCACATATTTGATTAATGTGCATGTATTGTTAACTTGGGCTCCCACTGAGCTGTATTGTATATGTGCCACTCTTGACCCTCTTTGTTTTGTTTTGCTGCACTAACAGTAGATCTTTTACTATTGCTTGTATAGTTGTCATGTTGCATGTCTTAATCAGTCAGAAGTCATTAGCTTTACTTTTAAATTGACTTCAGCCTGTAATTGTGAACTTTTTTTCCTTTTCTCTTTTTTTTTTGTAGATTTGATAGAACTGGTCTTGGAGCTGTGGATTCTGTGTGTTTTTTCAGAACACTTGGGTTAAACCCCTTCTATGGTAATAACATTATATTTTCACTGTTGTAGAGCTATCAGTTATGGTTACTGTAGCAATTGTTTCTGTAGTACATGTAACTGCAATTAAAAATGAAAAGGAATTTGGCATTGTTGAGATGGTAAGGTTCAATGTTTTTTGTATGGTTTTATTTTAGGACATCCTAAGAACGTCAAACAACGTTCCAAATCTAAACCTGAGGAGGAAGAAGAAATTCCTGCTGAGAAAGAAAAAGATGTTGAACAAGAGCTTAAACCTCCTTCACATTCAGGCCATGAAAAAGACCAGCAGCTGACAAAAGAGAGTGTCACTGCACTGGAGAATGTTATGACCTTGTTTTCTGCAAAGGTGAGATGAGAATAAATCGACTCATGGTGAATTCACCCTGCCTTCATACTCCAGACTGAGACATGTCGGTACTTACAGGTAGTAATATTATTTTTGTTAATAATCTTTCAGTTCAAAGAAGGCTACAGCCGAGTGCTCAATTCATTCCGCAAGTATGATCCTGAGGATACTGGGCAGGTACCTTGCAGTTAATTGTGTAGACATTGATTTTATCCTTTAACTCTATTTGGCTCTTGGATTGTAATTGACTTACTGTACAGTGGGAAGCTGCCTTACAGCCATCCCATTCATGCGGCCACCTCGTTATTACGGCCACTTTATTCTGGCCTGGAAAAAGGTCCAGTCAGTAATATTCTTATTTAATGAACCACCGAAATATTGCAACCAATTAATATGCCGGATTTTTGTGGCCTTTTGGTGCCTGGATTACTGGGTTTCCACTGTACTAGTATGTATTGTTACATGACTGTATGTTGTTTCTTCAGGTAAGCAAGGCTGACTTCCGTAAAGCATTGTCTGAGTATCATCTGCAGCTTGGGCCAGTTGAAGCTGAGCACTTCCTCCAAAGGTAAGCATTATTGTTCATAAAGGTTTAGGACGAACAAAACGAAATAAATTGTTCTTCTTAGTATTTATACCCCAGTCTGCAGCAACATATACTGTACACAAACATAAAACATTTAATTAAGCTGTAAGATTAATTGTAGAGTTTACCATTTTGAACTTTCCACTTTACTGAACATGACTAGAAAAATAAAGTATAAACGTTTTTTGACATTTTATTCGTTTGCATGTATAGCATATCGATCATGTTTTTAAACACTGTTTTTACAATGTAGTTCCCATCAGTCCCCTTCTAGCAGATTAAACTAGCCTGCTTTACGAGACTTGCGTTTTATCGAACGGGTCCTTACAACTTGTTCTTTGCTCCCTTACATGGTACAGTCAAAAAAGTGTAAGAAGACCTCAGATAGGCTCCAGGACACCTAAATTTTTACAGCTACGTGTAACTAAGACTTGCTTTTGTTTATCTTCCTGTAGGTGTGGCATGCGAGATTATAACATGGTGCCTTACAAGAAGCTTATGGACTTTTATTTGGATCGATCAGAGGAAGGAAAGTTACAAGCCGTGCTTGAGGACCCAAAGCACAGGTAGAGAACAGTACCTAGTGCTTAGATATTAGACCTTATATTTATGACAAGTTGGCTGTAGCAGAGAAATTTTGGTTCCTTCCTGGAGAGGATCGATGGCACTTGTTAATTTGCAACAGCGTACACTTGTGGTATGCACAGAAAGACTCATGCCAACTCGAACCTGGGGTCCGTTTCTCGAAGGTCCCGAAAAGTTTTCGCACCCGGAAAGCCATAGCAAAATCTCAAACCTGATGATTACAGAGCTGTTTTATTAACATATTCTCAATATGAACAGAGTTTCCCTTCATATCACAAGTTTCAGGCGTGCACACCTCTCTGTTTTTAGATACAGATTAACTAAAAATGGCTTTGCGGGCTCGAAAAGGTTTTCGGGGCTTTTGAGAAACGGGCCCCTGATCTAGTGCGCATAGTGTGATCGTCTGTGTGAGGGTAGTTCTGAAAAGAACTGCTGTTTGTGACTGACGTTTGGACAACCTGAGTGGAGGGTATCTTGATATTAGCGGAGCTCCGGCGGCCCGAAGGGCCGCTGAGCGGAGCCCCATACTCATATAGGAAAGAAAAGGAAACCCATGAGTTAATTTTCTCATGGTTATCATGGCTAACGGTATTGCTCGTGGGCGCGTACGCACGACGGCGACGACGACGACGACGACGGAGTCGCGCAACATGGCGGCCATGCTCCAAATAAAAGGTTGAGAGACATGCAGCCTTGATTTACCATGATGTGTACTTCTTTGATATTGGACATCCATGTTATGATCAATTGACACCTGTCAAAAAAAGGTATCCGCTGACCAATATCACGTGACCATATCGCGGGCTCAAGTTTACAGCTTAGTTTACAGTCGCGTCTTTTTTTGAAGTTTACCGCTGACCAAGTGCTGGTTTTTCTATTGGATCGCGGGCTTAGCTCAGGTTAACTTGTTGAAAACAGTGCAGGATTGTTCGGAAGCCGGTTAACGCTAACCCAGGATTAAAAGTTAACCGAATTATAACTTTTTGTTCTATACAAGTGTTTTTTGCTGCTTTGTTTTGTGTTTAGAGTGATTATTAAAACTCAAAACAGAAGGCCAAACAATATACAGAAAACCTCAACGCAAAGTTACAAAACTCAAATCAAAATTCTAGTTACCTTTTCCTGGGTATTTGGCTCGGAACAACCCGGCCCAGGAGCCACGCTTTTAGGCTGGCCTAAATCTTTATATTAAGTCGGTCTGTTTGAGGCCCGTGTTTTGGTTTTGTTTATGTCGTGAATAAGTTGTAATAGCAAAATAAGATTTCATCTTCTAACTAACAGTTTGGTAATTATTAGTTTAGTTGACAGCTAACGTAATCTCGTAGACAACAGCACTACTAGTCGGTGTGGATCCCGCCGGTGTCTTGATGGCCCTACACAAGCAGACCTTCTGACGCGAGGAATGAATAATAATTTCGTGCTATCTTAATAACAAACAAACCTTGTTGTGCTCGGCTCGTATGCTGTCACCCCACAATGTATTTACTGAAACATTTTCTTTGTCAATTTAAACACAGGTTCAATCGCAGCAGGGACTCAGCTATTGGCAACACAACTGCATTCGATGCAGAGGCCCGGTTACTGGATCTACTACAAGCAGACTTTTTAGCCTTGCTAGGAGCATTCAAGTAAGAAATCTCAAATTGACTTATTGGACTAACTAATGTAATTAAGCTTAACTTATTTTCGCTAGTTGAACGCAAGAAACCAAAAGACCTTCTTATGGTACTCTCTCGCTCTGTCTTGGTATTCTCAACTGGACACTTGTTCCGGTTTATTAGCCTGAGAATTTGGAAACGATAATCTCTGGACTACTGCGGCCATATAACACTTTCACTTTAATTCAGCAAAACTGAAAATAATTTAACTCTGTAATTCGTGTACCGAGAAAGGTCTTGACTTGTATTTTTTTTTTTTTTTTTTTTTTTTTCACTTTTTGTTTTGGTTATGATCTATTAAGAGATCTCCAAAAGACACCACCAGTAGAGAACTTAGCCGTTTCTTTTTCTTTTCTGTTTTAAGAAAACGTTTTTTTTTTTCTTGGAATCGAAGCTCAAACCATCGAAAAAATACAAGCGGTGTTCACCACAATCAACGCCACATGCAAAATTCAGAATTTTTCTGCGCAAATTTACTTTTTTTTCTTTTAGCAAAAATCGCTTCAATCGTGGGTTATTGTATTGTGCTGTAATGTAAAATGTTCATGTACATGTATACTGAATATGAAACTGTGGGTTTGGAAAAGTATGACATTCTGTCGAAACTATTAACAGAGAGATTTATACTGCGTACACCATAGCCGTCCATTTAGCGTAACCTAATCCTGATCACTGTGTTGTTTATTGTTGCAGACAGCTTGACAGAGATAATTTAGGGGTTGTTAAGCGGTACCAGTTTAAAGATTTGTTAGAAGCTCGCTTTAAAATGAAGGTTAGCGACGAGGAGTTAGCGTCAGTGGTACGTCCTTTGCTGGAAGACTCCAACCTTAGTCTGATTCCTTACGCTCGGTTTCTTGAGCTCTTCAGTTCACCAAGGTACGTTTTTGTTATTGTGCTTGGCATTCCGATCAGCCAATGTAAACCTGAGCGTGAAAATCCCAGTAAATCTTACGCCCTCTCGTAGCAATGAAGCCTAGTTATGCTGCGGGATTTTGGAGGAAGCGAGCAAACGATCATTACTTGTCCAGCGAAACGTTCGAATAAAATGTTGTAAGACGGGGCGACTAAATGATCAGACAGGTTCATACAACACGATACTGGATGAAAATATTTCGTCGCTTAGTCGGGGTTTCCTTGACTGTTAGATTCCACAGTTGTTGTTATTGTTGTTTTCTGAGAACAACCTGCGCATTTTCATATTACCATGGCGACATGCAACTTTTGAATTATACTCAATTATGGAAACGTGGTAATAGAAAAATAATCTCTATGAAGAAAATTCTACATTTGCACAGCAAATGGTTTTATGGTTATGAAGGCAAACTGGTCGCGTGGTTTGATGTTTAACTCTCCAACTTGTCTCTACAGAGAAAACAAGGAGGTTTCTATCGGTGCAAAAGTACCGAGCCCGCCAGCAGGCAGCGGCAGACCTGCTACTTCACCTAAGGAAATGAGTTCCCCGAGAAGACCTGCGTCGCGAAAGGGACTGGAAAGGAGCGCTACACAAACAGAGATAATCAAGAAAGAATCCCAACCCAGGAGTGTTCATTTGGTTAGTAAATAGACTGCTGTGAAAAACTTGTACTGAGTGTTGTTGTGCATGTGTGTTTAGTTTTGATATTTCCTGGTGACATACCACACAGGGATTAACTGACTGGTGATTGTCATGCGTGAGTGGTATTTTAAGGAACGAAAGGAGTACAAAATGCATGAAATCTTTTTGGAATTGTACATGAACAGTTCGTGTCGTGTTGGTATTGAAGCGCTCTCTATCCTCACTAAACCATCGTCAAAAACGATCCCTGTTGTAACTTGAGATTTTTATGAACATGCGTTTTAACATAGCGTGGCAATAATGTGTACGTAATTTTATCCTTGCAGTTGTTTGGTTTAATTCGGGAGCTGCTTACCGATAAATTCCAACTCATTCACAAGGTTTGTTTGTTTAAATTTTATTTGCATTGTGTTGAGATTATTTTTACTGTTTTAGTTTTCAGTATGATGGTTTTAAGGAACGTGTTTTTTCTTCTTCTTTTTAGGCCTTTCAAGGGATGGATCAACTTAGAAAAGGATATTTATCGAAAGGAATGTTTTTACGGTTGTTCGAAAGGTAAATACGTACTACAAACTCATGTGCATGTACTTACGCCGTTCTCGTTGCTTACAGTATGTACCTACATCATGTATTGCATGAATTATCTGAATGCGAGGTCCACACTGGCCCGATGTAGTAACTTTGATACGGTGGTCTAGTATGTAACTGGTGGTCTTGTGAAAATCAGCCATGCCCCTCAGTGATATGAGTTTCTATAAAACCCCAAGATGAAAAACACATTTGTGCTTCTTTTGTCTTTGTTGAAAAGATTTAACATTTTAGCTGCCTTCAGTTAAAGGTAGCCTACATGGAAATACAGACGTCCACTGTTTCATTTGGTTCAAGCGGAAACGTCTCTTCGAATAGACAATACATTTGTTCTGTGCACGCGCATGTCTGACTTCTGACTGTACCGTTCAATTTTTCAGATACGAACTCAAATTAACATCACCAGAAGTTGATTTACTTTGGTCCAAGTTACCAATTGAAAAGGATGGCACTGTCAGCTTCGAAGAACTAGTGCAGTACTGTTTCCTGAATTTCAACGTGGCTGCGCCTGGCGGAGAGGAGGCTGGATCTGGTAAGTTACTGCCGTGGAAACATTTTTCTTGTGACATACTGAGCACACCTCGTGTATAGTGTACATGATGTCCAGTTAAATTACATTTTCACCCAAAGCAGAATAATATAAAAGTAAGATTGAGGAACAATTCTGTCTAGAAACCCTCTGTATTCTTAGACTTACCACAAGTCAACTTCTCTTTATTGGTGAACATGAGTCTTCTTAGTGCGGAACATGAGTGACGGATTCAAGGTTCCTTGGTCGTTTTCTGCCAGACTTCCAAAATTTGAAAACGCACTGTATGAAAGTCTACTATCTTTGTAGCGGCAACTGTCGAAAGCTCCCCGCACAAGTACACATTTCCAGTTTTGTTTGAAATCGTGGGAAGCGAGAGGCAATAGGCCATATTCGTATTCTCGGTATTGGACTGGAACTAGCTTGCAACTGAGGCTAATGCGGGTAGCCTTGTCAAATGCAAATGAAATAAATCCTTTTTTAGTGATATTCCCCCGCATGAGCCTCAATTGCAAGCTAGTTCCAGTCCAATACCAAGAATACTAATATCACGTATTATTAGCGTGGTTTCAAATCTTTGTCGCTTGTGACATTACATAGTTGTAAGTTGTTTATTCAATAGGCCCTTTTCATAAATGGCTGCCAATTATAAATTCTTTTGTAAGTATTAAAATTAGCCTGACTAACCTCGTTTTTGAGTAGATAATTCAAAAGAATTTTTACTCCCAAACGAGTTCAGTGAGGCTAATTTAAATGCACACAAAAGAATTTTAAATTGGCAGCCATTTATGAAAAGGGTCTATATTTACTTTCTCACTAGTATTTCTTGGTTATGAAATGGAGGACGATATGTCATGTACCAGTTACTAAATGCTATACTGTTTTGTTAGGAAATCTGTCTCGTGTCCTGCAAGACTATGCCAAGTCAGTCATACACAATCGATTACAGCCTGTCGCTGAAGAAAAAGAGGCTGAACCTGAACCCCTTCCCACCCCACCCTCCCATGTGCCTGACGAAGACCAAGCAGGGTCCCCCACTGAAGATAAAACATCTCTTCCACCTCTGAAGACGCAAACCAAAACTTCCGTGGAAGTCATTTTAAGGAAGATAAAATCCCAGGTACATCACCTATTGTAATCTATTCACAAACATGTGTTTGTCCTATACCGGGAACTGTTTACATGAAAACTTTTCGAGCAAATGGAAAGACACTTTTTTCATATCATGTTCTAAATTGTCATTATTGCTGACTTGGTGTGCCATAATGTCTAGGTGTGCTCTCAGTGGAGTGAAATTCGGAATGCCTTCATTGCGGTGGATATAGAAGGAGCTGCCACGGTGGATTTCAATGATTTTAAGGTAATTCGAAGCATAAAATGTTCCTCTCTCTGCATTTTACATCGGTCTTTGTGTCCATTATAAGGCAATAGATCAGCTAATGCAAATATTTTGCCTGGGAATTTTGAACGAGGAGAAACGTGATAAGAAATCAGAGTTTAGATACAGTAAGATTGTAAAAGTTTTGTTTCTCGAAAATCGTAGGCAATTTAAAAACACGTTGAGGATACTGCTCGCTTAAAGACTAATTAATATCAATTCGTTTGCCAACAGGGCGTTTTAAGAAGATTTTGCAAGGATATTACACACGAAGAATGCCACAGCCTTTGTTTAAAGTTTGACCGAAGGAAAAACGCCCGGTAAGAACTCTTTTACGGGGATTTTTGTTTCACTACAAAAGTATTGATTAGACAAAGAAACTGTGAATAATACAACTCGCTGTACCTTCTCTTTAGGGTGTGGTACCTGGAATTCCTGAAGCAATTTCTTCCCACAATGCCTGTAAAAATTAACGACCTAGTTCCCATGTCACAGACGTTCAAATATCGGACCAAGGTAAGTTTGGAAATGAGCTAACAGCATAGTGCTTTGGGCTTTCGGACAACGTTAGTACGCCATTTTTCGGTTTTCTGAAATGATGTTGAATTGAATTGAGGTTGACAATATTACATTAGTTTTAATTTTGTTTTATTGTTTTATGATGAGTTTTCATACGCCGAAGCGGCGTTGTAGGTCACTTATGGCTTTATTTCTCATTTCGAACGTAGGCGGCGTGGTCGGACAGCAAAAGAGCTCACGAAGCGCTCGATGCAGTTGTTGGTAAAATTCGAAACCAGGTGAGCTAGCTCTCACGTGAATTAACTAGTAACGTGTATATGGGACAATTTTGAGGTGCTGACGACCAGTCTGCTTTACGGTTTTCCTTCCTAATTTGGGAAAAGCATTCATTCAGTTATTTCAAAGACAAGACAGCGCAATGTTGGTTCACTTGTGCACCTTGATAGGTTGATAATGGTTAGACATTCAAGTCTTCTCGGATAAGGACGATAAACCGTAGGCCCCGTCTCACAGCACTTCACTGATCTGGTTCTTGTGGGACGTTAAAGAACGCATGACACTGTTCGAACAGAATAGGGGACGTAGAACCCGGTGTCATGGTCTATCTGACTTGTGTCGGTCATTGGTCTGGGGTGGGTAAGGTGAGATCATACATGGACTGAAGTGGCTGCAAAGTGCGCCTTCATATGCTGACGTCCGATCTCACCTCTCTGGT